CCTGCGCAGGCACCAGCCAAGCTCCCGCTGGGAAGCGGCTCCTATTTTTGTTCCTGCTCCTTTCAGGCATCTCTCCCACTCTGGATGGAAACCTTCGCCTTTCCAGCCTGATTTTATTCACGCTGGTTTCTTACCCACCCATTCTTGTGGCAATATCGTCCCTGGTGCACATAAATCCTTTCCCTTCCCAAATCCTTTTCCTGGGCTTACCTGCCTCCCTCCCCAGGTACTTAAAGGCAGCAATCCCCTCAGCCTCCCATCTGCCAAGAAGCCAAAGGCCTTCAGTCCCCCCGCAGCTCCCACATCCCTGCGATTAACGCACCCTGAGCTTCCATCCCTGCTGCAGCCCCTTCCCAAATCCCTCTTTCTCAGATGGGGCCAGCTGGGATGGATGCTCATGGTCCAGCCCTCCCTGCACCACCAGTCTGGAGGTGGAAAGAGAAAAGCCCTGATGTCAGGAGGAGAAACTGGGATCCCCCTGGATTTCAGCCCTGCGAAGCAGCTCCCTGCCTGGCTTCTCCGCTGCCTGCGGTCCTGCCTCCTGGGCAGCTCCCGCAGGGACATCCTGCTGGGACGGCTCTCCCTGTCACTGAAGCCGGGAATGGCTTGGAAAGGGGGAGGGAAGGACCGGCCAGCGCAAAACGCCAAGGCAGGAGCCTGGTTCCCTTTGGAACAGCCTCTCCACGAGCCTCAAGGAGCAGCAGGGCAAAGTGGGTTGTTCCCTGCTCACCAGGGCCATCCCCAGGATCCCCACGAGCAACTCTCTTGGAGAACCTTGTTTTCCAACCAAGGGCCTCTCCAGGGGCTGGGAAGGAGGAAACGTGGGAGCAGAGGGGCTGCGATACTGCTGCTGGAGGTGGCCTCACAGCTGCACAGCCCCACGATCCCGGGGTGCTCCTGGAATAGGGAGAGGGCCAAGGGGGAGGAAATATTGCAAAGCTGAAACAATCTAACCCAGAGAGGGATAAGAGGGAGGATGGAAAAAAAAAAAACAAAGCAAGCAAGATGCAAGGAGAGCAGAGGAAGCACGTGGGGAGCCAAAGGCAGCGCTGACCCTTTGCAGGGATCTGTGAGGAACAACCCAGCCCCGGGCTCGCCACACCGGGATTCAGCTCGAGCCTGAGGATATGGAGGGAGCCCCCAAGCACACGGGGAAGCAGCAGCGCGACCTGCGTCACCTGGACCCCTTCCCTGTCTCAATCCTGACATCCCAGGGTCCCAGAGCCAAACTCGGTTTCTACACCAGCCCTTTCAACTCCGTCCTGCAGGGCTCTGCACTGGATCCCACCCGCTCCCGGGGATGCGATTCCCTCCGGATGAGGGGACACACACAGGCAGGAGCCCAAGCCCTCTTCAACTTTGAGACAGGGATTTTACCAGCCTGCCAAGAAGGGACTCAGCAAAACAGTGGGAGGGCTTGGCCAGCCCTAGCAGTGCCCCAGCAAGGCGGCTAATGATGTTTGACTTGCAGACACTCCCCTATGCATCACTTCGACCTGGAGACTCCCGGAGCGAGGAGGCCCGAGTCAATGCAAATCCACGCCGGGCAGAGAGGAGCCGAGAAAGGAGCAGGAGGCGGCAGAGCAGCTGCTCCCCAGCCCCCTCTCTCAAATGGCCCCGTGCCCGAGGGGCTGGAAGCTGTTCCAGGAGGTGGGAAAGGGCCCGAGGAGAGGGGCCAGGTCTATATTTGTCCTCTGCGGCTGGTTTGCAGCAGGGCTGCGAGAACCCGGGGTGCGGCACTTCCCAAGCAGGCCGGACGGCTCGGAGCAGCCAACGCGGCCCCCGAGCTGCAGGCAGGGCCAACACCAGGCAAGAACCCCCGAGCCGCAGCAGCGCGGCCCAAGGCAGCCCGGCACCAAGGCAGAGCGGAGGGAGCCGCGGCACTGGAGCCTTCTCCTCCGCTCCGGCCCACAATACGGCATTGTGCGCGGGGCCGGCCGCAGAGCGGGGCCAGGAGGCGGCTGGCTGCTCCACGCCGCTGTCTTGGGGACAATTTCTGAGCTCAGTCACTGAGCTCTGGAGACAGCGGCCAGGATTCAGCCCCCTGGATCCTGCGGGTACTGATGCTGCAAAGCTAGGGAGCAAAGTGGGGGAGAGCAAAGCCCAGCCCCACGTCCTGCTCTCGGAGAGGGAAAGCCCGGAGACAGCTCAGCTCTCCTGGTGGCCCGTCTCACGTGACTGCTGAGGGACAAGATGTGCCAAGGAGCATTTGCACCCTGGGCTGGGGCCACCGCGGGCCGTGAGCTGGCCTTGCTCCCCGGCGAGCAACTGGCACGTTACTAGGGTGAGGAAACACAACAGATCACAACAGAGCGCTGAGCAGAGCCAGCGCCAGCAGCAGCGACCGGCCTCGTCTGCGAGACGGCAGCGTTCGGCTGAAAGCAGCTTCCCAGTTTGGGGGTCTCCCGAAATGACCGTGGCACAGGGGAAGAGCAGGAGGCAAATATCCAGCAAAGACACCCAGCACCACTATGGAGGGAGCAGCTTCCCCTCCCGGCAGCACCTGCCCCGGCGGGGAGGACAGCGGGGAGGCAGGGGCAAAGCCAAGCCCGGGATCTCCCCGCGGAGCCGCCGGCTCTTGGGGCTCAGGTCAGGAGCCTGCGCAGGCCAAACGGGAGCTTCGAGCGACTGGATCCAGCCCAAACCCAGCAGCTGGGGAAGGAGCGGGATGTTTGGGAAGTGCTGAATGAACCAGGGCACGCGGGTGCGAGAAGCGGAGATACCACGAGGAGAGCGAGCGGCTCCGGACGCACCGCGAGCCCCTTTCCCAGCCACAGCGAGACGGATGCACTGCATGGACACTCCGAAATCCAGCAGGTCACTGAGCTTCCCCGGGCTCAGCCAGCTGTGCCAGCAGGCAGGATGAGCTGCTGGCTGCTTAGGGGTGGGAGTCTCTTTCAGTTTCTTGTTTTGACCAGAAAGTTTATCCTGTATCCAAAAAACATTTTTTTTTCCTGACAAAAGCAGCCTGTGAGATTCCTGCAGAAACTTCCAGTTTGGACAACTCCCATATCGGGAGCATTCTGGCTAGTTCACACTCTCAGGCACATCTTAGCCGGCTCCAAACCCAGCGGGGCTTCTTACTTTCTACCCTGCCCTCCAAAGGGATAATAAAGCTCCATGAGGTCTGGTTATAATCAGCTGGGCTTCCAGCTTCCCGCATTTGGGCCGCGTAGAAGAAAAGAGAACAGGCAGCAAGGAAAAAAGCTGTATCAGAGCTCTGGAAAGTGCGAGGGCTCTGAGGAAGGGAAAGACAGGGGCAACAGGGAATGCACCAAATGCAATGAGTACTCCTGGTGTGCAAGGGGTAAGTCCTGACACGAGCTCTCACGGAAGCACGAACAGGAACACAAAGCTGGAGCGGAGGTGATGCTGAGTTCCAACACTTTCATAACACAAAAGCTGTGTAAATGGTTATCTCGGGCCTGTTGTTACAGGGTTTTCCTTAAGGACATCACCACAGAAAGCTTCTAACCCCTGCAGACCACCAAGCCATCAACCAAGAGACCAGTAGAGCCCGACTCCTTGGTCCAGGAGCCACGATCCACTGGAATTTTTCCCCACAGAGAAGCTACAACTTGGGGACTGGCCCATTTCCTACAGGTCCCTGGAGCAGAGCAGGGAGAACCTGCAGGAGCCTTCAGCCTCATGGACAGTCATCATGCCAGGGACCAGAACAATGAACGGAGCTGCCAAACCACCAGCTCCCACGGGGTTATCTTCTGACCACGCTCCAGGGTCTGGGTGTTATCAGCAAATGCCAGTCAGGAACGGGGAGGGCTCCCCGCGCTGCGGGGACGTTCGTCACCCCACGGGCCTCCACGCCAGGGAGCTCCTGGCCCAGCTCTGCCTCGTTACGCGGCCAGCGCCGAGTCCGGGGGCAGCTCCGACTGCTCCGTCTCCGCCAGCTGCCCCGAGCTGCCCGGGGACACGGAGGTGCCACCCAGCAGCAGCCCCGCGCAGAGCTGACGTCCGAAGCGTCCGATCGAGCTTTGGGACCAAGCTCCAAAAACCAGCCCAACCCCCAGGATCCATGTGCAACACGGGGAGCTCCATGACTTCCTCACGCTCCAGAGCGGAGTTCTGTGCTGGCTCAAAGCAACAGACTCACTCCAAGATACCAACAGGTGATTTTCCTCACTTGGAAGTTCACCCTCTCCAAGGCCCTACTATTCCCCACCTGGCCACCAAAGGTCACTCAGCCAATGGCTTCACCAGCAGAGATTTTATTTAGCAAACCATGATAAAAAAAGAGTCATGTCTCCCTAGTAACTTTTGGTCCTTAGCTTTCCTCTATCCATTTTTTTTTTGGTGTGCAGAAGGTTTTGTGCTTTGTAGCTCTTGCTGGTGGAGCAGGGAGCCGTCACCCAGGATCTAGCCCGCTCTCCTTCCCTTTGAAACAAGCGGTTGGGGAAATAAGTTTCCTCCGCACCCTGCGTCCGCGTCGCCTCCCGTCTTGCCCCACCAGTGCCAAGCCTGCGCTTTGTAATTAGACGTTGGAGAAGGGGGGGGAAGTCTAAAATAAAATCCGGACTATTCTTGTTTTACTGAGAATGCCTCCTGCTGTGTGTGTAATTTCTGAACTAACTACCCTTAAAAAAAAAAATAGCAACTACCCTGCAATTTCTGTAGGGCAGTAAAATAGCCCCTTTTCCCCAGAATGGCTCTCCACATGGCAAAGGGACAAAGAGATCTTCAGGGTCTTTAAATATTTGGGATTAACCACTAAAAGGATGGCTGGAAAAGAGTTAGCCTGCTAAAAAGACATTTCAGCAGCACCTCCTTTTTTTACCCAGCGTCTCCAGCAAGTGAAGGGAGGCTGTTTGGAGGGATTGAGCCGGGAGCACCCCAAGGCCTGGACTGGCCGGCGGGATGGGGCTGACGCTGCGTTTGGAGCATGGGGAGGGATGGGGAGCTGCGGCGGGAGCCACGGAGCCGGGCCC